TCCTCTCTGGGACTCCTTACACCTACATAGTTAATGCCTCAACTGGCACTTTCTAGAGCATGGCCTGAAAGAAACGGGGCGATGTTGTTTATACTTCCAGAAGTAAATGAGATTCTGCTGTCCAATTTCTTTTCATTCACTTGACATTTTTTGCTATTGTCATGATTTATAATGTATGTCAACAAAGTTAAATTTTGTGTGTATGACCATGTCATCCGCTCCAACTACCCAAGGGCAGTGATGAGTGTTTGGAGGGGTCATAAAGACAAAGGCTTTAGGAGCAACCCCAACAGTGCCACGAGCCCTCACGTGGTGGCACTTCCCCATGCACTCTGCTATTTGTAACAATTCCCCAATCGTTTTTCTATTTTGTGGTTTAGAGAGAACTTTGGACCATGGATGCCTTTAGATCTCTGCAGATTTTTATATAATTACTGCAGAATATAGCAAAATGCCTTGTAGTTCATCAGGAATTTCAAAAAATCCTTTTAACTGGCTGATATGCTTAAATCTTAGAACTTACTCACTTACAAATCAATTTTAGAACTTTTTCCTATATTCAGTGTTTTCCTTATCTTTTACTCTTGGCAAAGATATTCTTGGAAAAGTATTTGGCAACAATCATAGAACATGACTAACAGTGCTAAAACAAGAAAGATGTATTTTAACAGTCAGATGAATGACCAACTAAAATAGATTTCTAGAAAACTAAGCATTGAATGCCACTTATATGTTTTCAAGCAAAATAAAACAAAAAATTTAAAATATCAAAAATTTCAATAGTCTTTGAAAAGACAAAAATCAGAGCTTAATTAAAATCTACATTTGAATTAGATGATGTAATAAGGGCTCTTTTAGGCAAAAACAAACAAACAAACCAAAACAAAAACACCAAAAAACAAACAAACAAAACTCACAGAGGCAGAGGGAAACTGACTTCATGAATAAATTCCAATCCTAAAAAAACAGTATAATTGATAGTGAATGAGGTCGATTTAAAAAATTTCCTATGAGCTTGTTCACATTTCAGTAAAGAAGCATGACGATGTTTTTCACAGACATCTTACCCAAGGCTTCATTTATTACCTTGTAACTGCTTGAGCTGAATTTTGCCCTCTTTCATTTCATGAACAAACGGGAGGAAATGTGACGATCTATAGACTACGGAACGACTCTGCATGATACCCAAAAGGCAATGCTAGGAGGACACACATTCTATGATGTAATACATGATGCTTGCCCAGGACATGTCCCACCTATCCTGATTTTGAAAATCATTTCTCAAAACCCTATGATAAGCAGATTACAGCACACTTTGGCGGATAGCTATTAGTAGATTATCTTTGGCTTCATGTCTGTTTTCAACAGCTGGTTTAGCCTTTTGCTAATTGATTCTAACAATTTCTTGACCCTGACCCACTTAAAAAGATCAAACTGAGCCTTGCAATCTGAAAGGTAACATATAGTTAAGGCACAGGGGACTCAGAGCGAGAAATGTCTTCGTTTTGATTTCTGGCCTGTCCCTTGTATGAGAAACTGCTGACGATGACTTTAATAAAAAATACCTTGAACTCTTTGGAGTATGTAGAAGCTCCGTGTATCCACAAAACTGGGCTGGGAATGAAAGTGAAGTGGGCCCAGGGACAGTCCCTGGATACTCTGGTGGCAGTAGGTGGCTCCCAGCTAGGACCCTGCAGTCTCCAGCTGTGCACTCTTAGGCTGTGAGACCCATCAATCTTGGAGCTTAAATCAATAAAAGCTTATTCATCACTCACACTCCAGGCAGGCTCTCCTCACCGAGTCAGGGAAAGGGACCATACACTTTTAACCTCTGACATGGTGTGGGTGGCCTTGCACGAGCAACACACATGCATTGCCTCCACTTACAACTCCCCAAGGAGAGCTGTGCATAGACTGACAGATTACAGCAGACAAGGAGGTATAACCCTATTAAGCGTCCAGAATGGGGAGAACTAGCAAAGTGCACTGACGACAACACATCGTCTCATAAAATAAGGAGGTAAAATCACTTGGGAAACCATGAGCCTTTCCCCTGAAAATGTCTGATGACTTCTTTCCCACCAGTTAGGAAACAAATTAAATTCTGAATGATACCTTGCATTCTGTATCTTGGTTCACAGCAGGTCTCTGCAGGGAATTAGACTTACTCTATTTTTATTTTTGCTCAACTTCTTGATTTTAAGTTATAGTATCACTTTAAAGAGAAGTAATTAATTGATGTTACAGACTAATCCATATGCCACCAAATCTGACCGAATGCAAATTAAACATGCCTCCATATGCCTTTCTCATTTGTTATTCTTTTATCCTGCTTTTTCACACGCACATTCTTTGTGTAGACATCTCCTCTTCTAATTTATTTTGCCAATCCACTCTATTTTTGTTGTAACTTGTAGTCATTATTTTTAATGTGTGTTATGCATGCATCACTTGAAAAGTCAAACGTTTCTACAAGACTGGTTATGAGAAACAGCTCCCACAACCCCACCCTCTGCTTCCTGCCCTCAGAGGTAACCACTGTCAACTCTTCACCCACTTTGCTCTGTTTTCCACCTCTGCTCTCTAGCTCACACAGCTACTTCTGAATTTTTCTAGAGTATTATCCACTGACTTCCCACTCCTCATGATTAAGATGTAGCTCTCCTGACCGTAACCCACCTCCCCTTCCCTACATCTCTCCTCCACAGCGACAGCATTCTGATTACATTAATAGTAAACAGGCTTCAATACAGCATCTTGAAACTTCAGGGCATACTCACTAGTAAGGTTTATCATACACCTTCTCTCCTATGCATACTTGGTTTTCTTTTGGTTACCAATCATCCTGTTCTTTATATTAGTATTAATTTTGTTTAAAGATTCATTTCTTTATTTTTGTCTATTTGAAAGGCAGAGAGACAGAGTCTCACCAATTCAGACTCAAACTCACCTTAAGGTACATAAAACTCTCAATTGTTCAATTTCATTTTTGAAAAAAAAAAAAAACTTTCTGGAATCTTACAACTTGCTCCAATCTGGCTGGTTGCTTCTTTCTGGGCCTAAAAAGATAAACTATATTCTGGAGATCTCCCTACATTATCGTCCCCGGGAATCTTTTCCCTGTTCTGCATCCATGGTTAGCCAGTTCTCAGGAATCCATACTCCTTGGTTTACACCTCATTTTTGTGGAGCACATCCTTTAGCGGATTCTCAGAATGGGTGCACAGGAGTACATTTCCCCCCAGTCTTTAATGTAGGAAAGTGGCTTTACTGCACTCTCACATTTAGTAGTTTAGCTGGGTGTTGGATCTGGGTGGGAAGCAATTTTTTCTCAGAACTTAGAAGGTACTGCCCATTGTTTTGCTTTTAGTGTTGCTATGGAGAAATCTGTAGCTATTCTAATTCCTGATTCTTTGTTGGAAATCTTTCTCAGTTCTACACGTCTGTGAGGTATTTCTCGTTCCCAGATTCTTAACATTTTTAGCAATGTATCTGAGTGTAGGTTTGTTTTTACTTCTGTAAGGCCTTCTATGGACTTCCCATCTTAAGACTCAGGTTTTTATTAGTGGAAACATTTTTCTAACTGCATTTTTTATTATTTCTCTTATTTTCTTTGTTCTCCTCTTTTTGAGATTTTGAAACTCTTGGGTCAGTTCTCTAATTTTCTTCAAATTTTCTCTCTTATTTTCTATTGCTGTCTTCTATTTTATGGGGCGATTTCTTCAACTTATCTTCCAACTTTTCTATTGAAGTTTACATCTTGGATATTACACTTTAATTTTTAATAGCTTCTCTCAAAAATTCTCTGAATTAAAATTGGCCCTCCTCATCAGTGGGCTCCACATTTGTGGATTCAACCAAATATTCAGAAAAATAGTGTCTTTATGGAACACAAGTAAACTTTTTCTTGTCATGATTCCCTCGCATTACAGTTCCACACCTATTTATATAGTAATATTGTAGTGGGCATGATAAATAATCCAGAGATGATTTAAAGTAAGCAAGAGGATGTGTGAAGGTTACATGCAAATACTGTGTCATTGTACACACAGGACTTGAGCATCTGTAACATTTAGTACCTGCTGGGCACAGGGAAACCTGCTACCAATCCTCTGTGGATACCGAGGGACAATCCTCTACTTTGTTTTCTGAGCTCTTGTCCCCACACAAGCTTATTCTCTCTCAGTTACTCACTTCTATTGTTTTCACGGTACCCTCTTTGAGTGTCTGGTGATTCTTGGTAGGATTGTTCATAACATAGTGTGAATTGACAAGCTAAGGAGTCTGTGTTAAGACAGGGCTTGCTAACGGAGGGGTCCACTGTAAAGTGAACTGGCTGCTTCCTCGAACCCTCAAGGGCAGTGCGTGTTGGGTCAGTGTGGCTTTTGCCTAGGGAGCACTCTGCCAACCTCCCGCCTGGAGGGTTATACTCACTGGCACTCTGGACAGCAAGCTGGGAGGCCCGAGTCTCCAGTGGGGCACTTCCATATATGCATCATCCCCTCACAGCAGGGCGGGCCCATGCTGCAGAGTGCCAGGTCTCCCTCAGCCCAGTCCCAGTCTGTTTTATACTGTTCAGGACTCTGCTCGCGTGCAGAAGAGAACTTAATTCTTCTTGAAGAAACTCCTGACCAATTCTCATGTCTTTGGTTCTATCTTCATCCTTTTGTTCAAGTTCCTGAGCTTCTAGAGGATTCTATAGTCTCAGTCAAGCTGCTTCTCTCTTTTTCCTACTGCTGACATAGAGGCTGCTTAGTTACCAACTGCTGTCTGCTCTCCAAGTAACAACACTTGGTTACCACTGTCTTCCCTCCTGTTTTCTTATTCTTTGAGGGCTTAAATCCCCTGATTTCCCCTGCAGTGGAGTTTCAAGAGGAACAGAGCTAAATGCTTACATTTAAGAAGCTATCTCTATAAACACAAGTCTCATTCTGATCTTTTACTAACTACCGATTCACAGTTCCTACATATTGGAAGAGAGAATGTCATGAATTCTTCCCTCCAAGGGCGGAGTACAGTCACGTGCACAAGGACCTTTCACTTGATAACGGGCCACATCAATGGCAGTGGTCCCCTAGCATCACACAGTCCGTAGGGCAGGCACGAGGCCTAGCAATGAGGATGCCAGTTAGGACATTTGCGTCCCCCATCCGAGGGCCTGGGTTTGACCCTTGCCTCGGGCTCCTGACTCCAGCTTTCTACCAGTGCAGGCCTTGGCAGGCAACAGGCGACGGCTCAGGTGACTGGGTTCCTGCCTCCCTGGAGGGAGACTTGGATGGGGCTCCCATTTGCAGCTTCAGCTTGGCCTCACCCTGGCCACTGCAGCATTGGGGAGCTAACTAGCAGATGGGAGCCATGCCTCTCTCACAATAAATGAATGAATACAAAGCGATGGCATGTCCCAGTGATGCTGCAGTCATCTTGGTTTGTGCAATGCTCCCACAACAAGAACCAAGGTGCCACATGGCTGTGTGTTGCTTCGTTTGCAGAGGAGGTGGCTGAGCACCAGGAAGCCGAGCGACCTGCCCAAGGACACACAAAGTTGCACAGCTATCACCGCACCTGTACTATGAGTCTGCAATAATCTCTCACCAAGGTTTTACAGCTGGTTGGTTCTTTCTAGTCTCAGACCACGTCAGCTACAGTGAGGTCCAGTTCTGCATCACCTTCACACCTGTGTGCACTTCCGGAGGGCAGGTGAGTTCTTCATATTACAGCATTAGGCACTGAACAGGTTAGGCCTTGTGGTTAAACGGGGAGTTCTTGTGATTGCTGGCTTACAACAACTTCAGATACAGCCAGATTTTCCCAGCTAACGGCGTGCTTTAGGTACGACCTTGATAAATATACACAAAGGATATCACAAAGCAACCAGCAAAACACTCTCATTTAGGTACACTTCTTAAAACAAACTGTGAAATAATTATTTTTAACTTTCCAGAAATACTCAGGCCTGCAACAGGCCCAGTTTGGTTTGTTTCAAGTATCATAATCTATTATTTGATATGATGTTCTTTATTAAATTTGAGAAAAGGCACAGACTTTGAGAAAAAGGCATTTGTAAGGGGGAAAAAGGACAGGGATTTGATAAAGATGCAACTTATTTTAAATTGATGCTACTTTTTTCCAGTGTGATACAGACCAAAGCCTTAAAATATTACTAAGTGATATTAATAAAATTAAGATACTTCGGATAGAAGGATGCATTTTAGCTGAGCGCTTTCTGAGTTTGGGCCCCACACGAGCCTTCCATAGATGCCGCGGCAGTGGAGGGGAAGGTGGACACTGTCCTTAAACACTTACAGATTCTTTTCTGCCCACAGTTCTGCTGTGGGAGCGGGAGCGGGAGATGTTGCTAAAGAAGGAATCCTTTTTAGTAGCAGAGGCAGGTGGGGAGCCGGTGAACTCTCTTCCTCCAGGCAAACTCTCAATGCTTGGAGACGAACTGATGTTTTTTGAACTTTGTCCTGTAAGGAAAAGTGAGTAGCAACAATGAAACACCGGACACGTTCCCTACGGTACTGATGGATTATGACATCACTTTATCTACAGTGTCAACACAATGGTCTGTGGAGTTCTAGGACAAATGAGTTTCAGGGATGAGAGTGGTGGCCAATTGTTTTCAAGCAATGAAGTACCTCTACAGTTTTCTATATGTAACTTACATAACAATAGTAATATGTAAGATGTAATTTGAATAATTGCACACACATAAACATAAAAAAGGCTAAAACATTCAGTTTTAAGAAATCAATCGCTTAAATGATTGGATTGTCCCTCACTCATGGAATCCTCCCTTAATTACAGAAATCAGAACTCATTACACTGCATATGGTGTTCGTAAAAGTACAAAATTGAAACCCATTCACAAAATTTTTCAGAGTTTCTTTCCTTTTCCTTCACTGCAGACTGGATGCATAGCCAGCCTCGGTCTGCCACAGAGGCTGGAAGCAGGACGTGTGCCGGCCCACAGGGCCTCTTTCTAGCTCTGTTCCCTCGTTGGAGCTGGTGCACGTGTCCCTGGCCGTGCCTTTTTTACGGACAGGATCTTGCCATAGCAAGGGCCCCCGTAGGTCCTGTGGAAGGGACGGCATGGTGTGGAAGCCACCCCACTGAACTGCTGCAGCTGGACTTCCCCAGGTCCTGTGGTTGCTGTGGGGGCTTAATGGCCCTGCAAATGACCTGGCAGTCATCCAGCCAGGAGTAACTGCTAAGGGTCAGACAGTCATGGGTGCAGGGAGGGAGACAGAGGGAACTAAAACTGTCAAAATTCCACTCCTTGTGGAGTTTACTTCCCGGTGAGGGGAGACAAAGATATTAGTAAGACACACAGGATTTTAAATGATGATGACTTCTGCTCGGAAAAAACGAAGGAGTAAAAGGGGATGTGAGTGCTAGCGGGAGGTACTGCAATTTTAATTAGGATGGTCAGTGAAGAGGCCGCTGAGGAACAGTGACATCTGAGCAAAAACTTGGAGAAGGCCCAGTACTAGTTTTGCAGAAAAGGTGACAGACAGCAGAGCAAAGCACCCTGGCAGACTTCCTGTGTTCAAGGAAGAGCAAGACGCCAGTGTGGCCAAAGCTGATAGGGGGCGGAGATTGGGGGCAGCGGGAGCAGCTGAGGTTGGGAGCAAGCAGGGGATCAGAACAGGTGGGGCTTTGTAGACAACTTAAGGGCTTTTACTCCGAGAGGGGAAGCCATGGAACATCCTTGGAGGGGTTGAAGAGATGGGTGACAAGACTGGTTTACATTTTAAAAGGACCACTCAGGCTGCAGTGTTAAGAACAGAACTGGGGAGACAGGAAAGGCAAAAGCATAAGGAGGGAAATGCATTTTTGCTGCTGCAGAAATCCAAGCACCAAGAATGATCACAGCTTGGTGGGGCAACGCGGTCAGGCTCTGGACATAATGGGATTTACTGAGGAACCATGATGGGTAGGAGACAGAGAAGGGAGTCAAGTTTAATTCCACATTTTTTACCTAAGCAAGAAGAATGATGGAGCAGCTGTTTACTGAGACAGGAAAGAGTGGGGAGAAGCAGGTTTTAGGAGTAAGGTCAGCAGTTTAGTTTTAATCTTGATGATTTGGAGATGCCTAATCAGATTCCCAAGTAGCAGGGTCATGCAGGGAGGGAGGGAGAAGTGAGCCTGGACTTGAGGGGAGAGATCTGAGCTAGAGCTGGAAATTTGAATTGGTAGCACACAGACTCTAGTTAAAGGCTGGAAACCAAATGAGATCATCAACAGGGAGGGAATAAAGAGATAAGGGATTAGATGCAAAAACTGGTTCCTGGTTTAAAGGTCAGAGACATCACAAGAAAGCAGCAAAGCCGACTGAGAAACAGTAGCGGGAGGTAAGAAGAAAATCAAGTACAAAATAATAGATACTTCATAGTGTAATCTTCTTGAATCTTTTTTTTTTTTTTTTTTTTGGACAGGCAGAGTGGACAGTGAGAGAGAGAGAGACAGGGAGAAAGGTCTTCCTTTGCCATTGGTTCACCCTCCAATGGCCGCCGTGGCCAGCGTGCTGCGGCCGGTGCACCGCGCTGATCCTAAGGCAGGAGTCAGGTGCTTCTCCTGGTCTCCCATGGGGTGCAGGGCCCAAGCACTTGGGCCATCCTCCACTGCACTCCTGGCCACAGCAGAGAGCTGGCCTGGAAGAGGAGTAACCGGGACAGAATCCGGCGCCCCGACCGGGACTAGAACCTGGTGTGCTGGCGCTGCAAAGCGGAGGATTAGCCTAGTGAGCCGCGGCGTCGGCCAATCTTCTTGAATCTTGGGTTATCAGATTCAAAAACATGACGCAAGAGCTGGTTGAATAATGATCTACTCCCAGTCTCCTGTCGCCGACTGCAAGACCACCACGTCCCACTGATGATGCCTCTGCATCAGACACAAAGGGTTCAGACTGTTTTTTTGCCTCTAAGAGTTCAGAACATAGGGGTAACAAGAATGTTGTCTTGGGGGCCAGTGCAGTAGCAGGTAAAGCTGCTGCCTGCAGTGTTGGCATCCTATATGGGCGCTGGTTCGCGTCCTGGCTGCTCCAATTCCAATCTAGCTCCTTCCTAATGGCCTAGGAAAGCAGCGGAGGACCTGAAGATGTTCCTGACTCCTGGCTTCAGACTGGCCCAGCTCCAGCTGCTGCGGACATTTGGGGAGTGGACCAGAGCATGGAGATCTCTCTTTCTCTCTGCCTCAGCCTCTCTGCCTTTCAAATAAATACATATTAAAAAAATAGCTTCTTAAAAAAAAAGAATGCCTCTTTCTCAGGAAAGAGCTACCACTTCTCATCCGGGTGACAGGAAAGTCAAGGCACACGCCACAGAGGAGGCACACAGACTTGAGTGCAGCTGTGTCCTCTTTAAGGAATACTTGTTGCATCAAGAAATGTGGCGAGTTGACAGCTTCTAGTCGTTAAGGCTGTGCAGGATCTGCCTCAGGTTTTGAACCAGGTTCACGCTCTTCTCAGGGTGACGACTGGTGGTAAAGGGCTTACCCATTTCCAGCCAACACAGCACTCTAATGGGAAATCTTGGTTGCAGTTTCCTGTTGAGCTGGTAGAGACTTTCGTGAGGTCTGTGTCACAGTCTGACACCATCCCTCTGTCCAGTCCCTCTTCCTCCTCTTTTCCTCTCACAGGTGCTGTTCCCCAATAAACCTTTCATACTTTTTACTCCATCTCGGGGTTAGTTTCCTGAATAATCCAACCTATCATGGGTAATGTTGGAGCTGCTTCTTTTTGAAAAATAAAAAAAAAGATTTATTTATTTATTTATTTATTTGAAAGGCAGAGAGAGTTACAGGGAGAGAGGGAAAGACAGAGACAGACACAGATCTTCCATCCATTGGTCCCCCCTTCCAAATGGCTGCCAGAGCTGGGACAGGATGAAGCTAGGAGCCTGGCATTCCATCTGGGTTTCCCACATTGGTGGCAGCTCACACAGCATGCCAGCATTGCAGGTGCAGCTTCCCCTGCCCTGCCCCAATGCCAGCCCCCAGAGCTGAGCCTTGGAGAATGGCAGAAGCGCCCCTGACAACCACGAATCTGCTTCTGTCTCTGTGGATTTGCCTTTTCTTGACACGTCATAGAAATGAAGTAACAATAGGTAGCCTTTTGTGACTGGCTTCTCTCTCTTGGCACAATGTTTTCAAGTTTCATTCACATTGTAGCATGCATCAGTGCTCCAGCTCTATCGCTAAGTAATATTCCATTGCACAGATATACCACATTTGGTTTATGCATTCATCAGTTGATGGGCATTTTGCCTGTATCCATTGTTTTTACAATTAGAAATAATGCTGCCAAGAACACTGATGTGAACATATGAGAACTTGTCAAAAACTTTGTGGAAAATGGCATTAAAAGATAAGTTTGGAGCAGGCACAGCGGCTCAGTGGGTTGGGCTACCATCTGGGATGCCAGCATTCTATACTGGAGTGCCAGATTGAATCTCTGCCACTCTGTGCTTCCAGTCCAGCGTCCTGCTAGTGTAGCTGGGAGGCAGGAGATGATGGCCCAAGAACTTGGGTTCCTGCCACTCATGTGGGAGACCCAGATGGGGTTCTGGGCTCCTGGCTTTGCACTGGTCCAGCTCTGGTTGCGTGGCTATTTGACTAGTGGATAGAAGATTAATTGATAGATCAGTCTCCCTTTTTCTTTCAAAGAAATGAATGAATACATATACACATAAATATTTTTTAAAAGGTCAAATTTCCATGTATGTGGGGATCTGCAAAAAGTTCATGGAAAATATGTATCATAAAAAATGAATGCCTAGATTTCAAAGGTTTTTTTTTTTTTTACACGAATGTAAACTTATCTTTTAAATCTGTTTTTCCATAAATGTTTTGAAGTGCCCTCATGTTTTCATGTCTCTCGGGAATGGAACTGCTGGGCCATTCTGGCAATTCTCTAACATTTGAGAAACTGCCCAGATGTTTTAAAAGTGATTGTATCATTTCATATTTCTATAAGCACTGTTAGGGTTTCAATTTCTCCACATCCCATCCACACTTCCTATTAGCCATGCTTTTGTAAGCTCTCTTAGTGGATGTGAAATCTTAGTGGATGTGATCTGTAATATCCCAATTAGTAACGAGGTTGAGAATTTTCATGTGCTTTTCAGACACTGGTATGTCTTCTTTGTTCAGATATTTTTCCCATTTTAAAAGCTGTGTTATTTTTATTGTTGAGTTACAAAGGTTATTCATGCATTCTGGGTATAAATCCTTTCTCAGATACAAGATTTCTAAAAATTTCTCCAATCTGTACATTCTCTTTTTACTTTCTTTTTATTTATTTATTTATTTATTTATTTTTGATAGGCAGAGTGGACAGTGAGAGAGAGAGAGAGAGAGAGAGAAAGGTCTTCCTTTGCCATTGGTTCACCCCCCAAATGGCTGCTGCAGCCGGTGCACCGCACTGATCTGAAGGCAGGAGCCAGGTGCTTCTCCTGGTCTCCCATGG